TGCCAAAAATGCAAATATGAATACCAGGAAAAGCAAATGAACAAATAGGTCCCATTTCTCACTTACTCCTATTTTCTGAAAATGTTTGCTTGTGTATCAAGACCAGACCAGATCACAATAAGTGGCATGGAAACAAGAGCTTCTTTTCTCACTTCTTCAACTTCATCATGAAGAGCTAAGTCCAGAACTTCAAAACCACTTCCAGTTATAAATCTTGGACCAAGCTTTGACACAACTTGAACAGAGATGAGTTTTGCTTTCAATGGAAGACAAGGTTTGGGGACCACTAGTGTGTGGGTCCATGGAAGCTTTAGCACCACATTTATGTTCACCTCATCACTTTCATTCTTAAACAAGTTGTACTCAAAGAAAATGGACCCTAATTAAGAAGGGTTCAAACAAACTGTATTAAATACCAGAAAATATGATAGAATCCATTATTAAACTGTCAAATGAAGTACATTTTTTGAATGAGGAAAAGGACTCACGCTGCATAGTCACTAACTAATCTAATTGTAATTAAAGCTTAATCGGGTTGCACTGAGTTACATGAACTAGTAAAAAGTAGAGGAATTATCAGAAACTATATTGGCAAAGAAGACTTAAACAATTATGTTTTAATTTTCATATAAATACCTGTCTATATAAATTTAATTTTAGGGGATGCATTTTTTGTTGCACTCATAGCATGAGACATCCAAGGCTTACTCAATGAAAGTGAAACGACTTAGTAGCTATTTTCTTCATTTAGACACTTAGGAAAGCACATCAAATTGTCAAGCATCTTAGTAGAACATATTCCTAACAAGTCAAGTTTAAGTGAAACTTCCAATGAAGATTAACTACCGCCTTACCTTGTATAAGCAGCATATCATGAATTCCTTCCAGGTAGATGGAAATATCAAGCATGATTGAACTCCCTTTCTTTGCCTGCATAGCATGAGCCTAAATAAATTATAGAGAAACCACAAAAATGAGTAGGCTAACAAGAAATTTGCATATCCATGCTTACCTGCTCACATATCCACGGAATCCAAGTCTTCATCTGCTGAAAGATGCAAAGTGACATATTGGTCTGAGGATATCTACAGAAGGCAGTAGAAAGCAGGCTAAGAGCCGTTAATGCAACATTTGGTCTCAAAGCTTCATGTTTGACACTAGGAGCGTTTAAAGTGTCAACAAATAAAATAAGTGACTCATACATCGTGTCTGCATATCCTTCTTCTCTTTCATAAGAAACTATATCAGTAAGTTTAATATCCCCGGAACATTAGTGTTAGAAAACTTAATTTCTCCATCTACCTTTTGGCGTTTGATCTTGAAAGGATCAACATCAATGTTATGTCTTTTTCCCCCAACCTTTGGGTTTGCTATTCATTTATCACTCGAGGCTGATAAACCCAAGTTGCTATGATCTGTTGTCCCTCCTCCAACACGAGTGGCACCAAGAATAGAGAGTGCAACTTGAAAGCGATCAATCAACAAAATGCATGTTTGGGGACAACAAAGTACGTTAATAAGAGATTCAGGTCTCCATATATGAGGGGACAAGTTCTAGAAACCCGTATAGTATAAATGCAGTGCACAATGCAACCTGGAAATACATATATATCTATGAGTATCCAGAAGACATACATATATATGCCAAACAATAAAATCCTTGTGTTTACCTTAAGCTCCATGCTTTTAGTTCTCCACATTGAGTGAAAGAAAACATTAACTAGATTTTCAGCCATTAGCTTGACAACATCATCAGGACAGCTAGTGTGCAATGCCTTAAGGCAAGCACTATGGAGGAATCATATGCTAAGTTCCTCAAAAGTAAACACAGTATAGAACACTAAGAATGACAGCCATAAAAAAAATAATTCCATACGTCAACAACATAAGAAATTTCTGGAAAACAAGAAGAATAAGGAAAATAATCAGATTCAAGCATATATGCAATTACACAATCTAAGCCTCCAAATAATTGACCATAATTTCCCCAAACAAGTGGAAGAGGTCAGAATCCTCAGTACATTTATGACACCAAAGTCCAAATGTTCCCCATGTGGTACCATGTGACTTGACCCATAAGCTGCTGTAACTCCTTCAGATAAAGTACAATATGTAATTCTCGTTGAGAAGCACTCTACTGACATATGGGGTGCTTGGAACTTATAAAATAGGCCATAAAGAAACCATCTTAGTCAGCACTTTTCCATTGTAACTAGTTGGACAAAATATAATATGTTACTTCTCATCGAGCTCATAATCCTAATTAAAACTAAACCAATATAACGTTATAGTCCCAAGAATTAAAACTCACTCTTTGGGTCATAATTTTATAATATTTCCGTGGTTCCTTCATATTTGGATTGTGCTCTCTTTTAGAACTTTTTTTTAATTATAAATTTCTCATATAAAAGCATCATAAATCAGAATGCAAACCTGAAAACAGGGAGCCCCTCTTTGTCCTCACTTAATATGGTGGACATTGATTGGATTAAATTCTCATAAGGAACAATTTCATAACTCATCGCTGACCCAATGACACGTGCAAAGTCAAAACATGCCTTCCACAAAATTTAAATTGTCAGCTACTGTAACAAGAGGATGTTAGAAACCATGTGAACAAACTAAATGAACCAAGATGTAAAAAATTGCAAGAAGCTCATTATTAAATATACATAAAACCCACCATATGCAAATCAGCATCTCCATAACATAAAGGAGAGCATGCAGTACAAACAAATGATGTATCAACGAGACCCTCCACGTATAGAGTTCCTTCAGTTAAGCATTTGTTGAGAAGCTTTATGATCCAAGTTGCAAAAGGTTGCCACCTGTTTCTGCCAAATAGGTTAATCAAGATGCCAGGGCCATCAATGGGTTTATTGCTTGTTGGCAGATCACAGAGACGTGTTGAATCACTCAAATTTCCAGGAAAGGACTGATGGAAACACTTCAAAGTAAATTTGGTGGCTTCTGCAATTCTTGAATTTTCCATGGAGAGGGATCCTATATACAAGATATCTGGATGAATACAAAGGCGTGTTAGTTTTTTCTTTTTTAATGTTTTTAGATGCATTATGATCAGACTGCCAAATAACTAAGCCACTATGGATTAGGACAAACAAATATCATAAAATTAAGATCAATCAGTTGCATAAGGAAGCAGTGAAACCATAATCATATAAATAGAAATTCTCACAAAGTTCTCCTTTTACCTTCAATGGCACACATGGCATAAATGAAAAGCATTCGGTATGCATCTCGAGACCCAGCACGAAGCAAGGATAGAAAGGGTCCAATTGTTTCAAAAATTACTCCATGTCGAGAGCTGAAATATGATATATAGTTCTTGAAAATACAGAACAAAACAGAAAAGCTTTGAAAGAAGCAATAAAAAAAGTTTAACAAAACCCAAACACCAGATAAAAGAGACACTGCAAAAAATGCTTTAAACAATGGAATGTTAGTAAATCACTAACCAAAATGCAGGTTCAGAAAAAAATGGGCAAAATCCGACCAATCACGGGTAGAATAGCGCTGGCCTTGCCATGGTAAAAAACTCTAGGAAAATTCCTTGCTGTGTGAGAAATGAGCTTCAACACAGCTATGACTTCTCGCTTATTGGCTGCAAGAAGTGTAACATCAACTACAATAAAAGCATTTATAATTGAAGTAACAAATTTCTTGTAAAGGAGAGAAAAACTAGATTCTTGTAAACAAACTGTTTTCTCAGGAAACCGACAGAAAGGAAAAGGAAAAAAAAAGCACTTTTTTAGTTTAATTCTTGAATAACATCAAAACTTCTATTTTTTAAGAAAAGAAACCTACAAAAAGGAAAAAGGATAAAGAAAAGCCTTTTTTTGGTTTATGGTTTCTAAGAAAAGCCTTTCATTTTCTTACCATTTAAAGGAGAATTTTTTCTTTCTTAAATCTTTTATTTCTTCACAGTAAAGTGCCCATACTTAAGAAACCAAGAAAAACGCCCAAAAGAAAGAAAAAGAAATGGGTTTTTTCATCCACAGACAACCAAAAAAACCCACATAGTAAAACCCATGAAAACCCAAAAAACCAAAAGAAAGAAAGAACAAGAAATGGGTTTTGGAAATAGAAAGAAAGAGTACCAGACGAATAGGGAACGACATAGGTGTGAAGAAGATTTGGGAGAACAGCACGGAATCTGGCCTCTAAAGCATCATCGTCACCACTTTTGTTAATGTTGTTGTTTGAAGGAGTGGAAGAAGTTGCAGCAATGCGTTCACGAAGTTCGTGAACCAAGCTCGATAGATTTTTATTGTTACTGTTACTGGTCATTGCATTTGCTCTTTCTCTGTTTCTCGCTCTCTTGACTGTTGTTCCCTCCCAACTGCACTTTGGCGCTCTCTCGCTCTCCACCACAAGGTTTTGCCGCTTTGATGGCCTGCCCTGGCCACACTTATCTCCTTTATTTATTTATTTATTTATTTTACCGTTGCACCGCCTTTCCCAAAAACCGGTTTTTACTGTGGACCTCTCATGGGCCACGCGTGGTGCACCACATCCAAGCCAGACGTGCAATCACTGGAGGACTCGAGGGGTTCATTGACCCGACCTTATTGGGTTTATATTTTCATATGCCAGAAGAAATCTCCATTGTTGCTGACGTTCTTCAAGAAAATCTCTTGTTCATTAGCAACCCAAATGCAGTTTCATCATCCCAAAAAGCAGCACCAACATTGTCTTTTCCTCAAGTAACAATAAAGAGGTTTGAATCCGAAGAACTTCTCTTGGAATGGAAACTCATGTTACAAATCGAAAAATCAAAGCAAAAAAAGGGAATGGCTGGTTAAAGAGTGGACATAGAAGACGATAAATAAAGGGAGAAACAAAGAATGAAAAAAAAAAGGAACAAACACGGTCATAACTTGATCATTGAATTGAAAAAATGTTCAGTGCTGATGAAAATGTTGGGAATGGCCAACATAGTTAAAAAAGCCTATGTTCAAGTTATAAACATCACTGTATAACATATGTCTACGCTAGTGGTTGCCTCTTCTAAGGACAGACAAAAATCCTCCGGAAGATTTCTCTTTGTGCCGATCATCACCTTCATCTCCTACCTGTTTTACGAACCATAAGTATATTGATTGAGTCATTAGAAGTATGTGAATAAATCCTACACAGGAAAGCAAGGTGATGGGCAGAGAATAAAAACAAACCTCCTTGGCAATTTGCTGCAAAATCTCTATAATTTCAGAAAAATCTGGTCTTAGTGTGGGATCTTGTTGCCAGCATCTATCAAGCAGTTCAGCAAGCTTTGGGTTAGTGTTCTTTGGAATTGTCGGACGTAGACCCTAGAATCAGAGTCAATGAAAAAGTGATTAATTCTAAGTGATAATAATATTGTTCTAAGCACCATAAAAATAATCCTTCAATGGCTTTTTCGTTATCATGATCTGTTTTCCTGCTTTCTTTTAGGTTGGCAGGGAGGGAAGAAAATTTTCCCAGCGATGACATACCTTTTGAACTACTCCAACTGCAGCTTGCAATGGGGTCAAGTATTCATATGGAAGCTGACAATCAAACAAAAGCAAGGTAACCATGGGAACCAACCTTGAGACAAACCAGCACATATCTCCGTGCATGCATAACCTGAACAAATCAAAGAACAGATAGTGGCTGAGCAATACCTTTCCAGTTAACAACTCCCATAATACAATCCCAAAACTGAAAACATCGGCCTTGTGATCATATGGCTTGTGTTCAATAACCTTCAATGCAAAAGAACTGTTGTAAGAAAATGAGAAGATGAACAACCAATTAGAGGAGGAATAATAATCTCAACTAATTGGATTAATGCTACTACCAATTTATCTAAAGAGGAAAATAAAAGCAACAATGAATAAGAACAAACTGATCTAGCTACAAACATCTTTCCTTCCTAGTCATAATAAAGAAACATAAGTGAAGATAACAAAGAGGCAAGTAAATCAATTCCTGAATGTTACTTTAAACAAATATTGTTTGCCTTTTCAAAATGTCTCATATCTTGGAGAACAATTAAAGCACTTTAAACTATCAACAAAAAATAGCTAAAATACCTTGCTTAGATTTCAACTTTAGTGAAAAAGTCAATAAAGAACGTGACTTATATTATGGTTCAATCAAGGATTTCACTCCTCTAATTTAATTTTTAATGGATATTAACTGATTGAATCAGCTAGCTTCACTAAGTACAACCACATTTCCAGAAAATGACACATTGTATCCGATGCTGCATCATCCATTGATTTCATTTTTTTTTCTTTATAATTCATGAGACACCGAAAGGGAAGTTAGGAATATTCATGGAACAGTTTATAAAAGCTTTTGCATTAAGAGCTCACCTCAGGAGCCATCCATCTATAAGTTCCAGTTTCAGCCGTCATAACTCCAGATTGAGCTTTCACTCTAGCAACCCCAAAATCAGCAACCTTAACCACCTGTAAAACAAAGCATGTAATAGATTAATATCAAGATAGTAAACATAGGGCGAAAGCATTAAATTTGACTTTGACCACAATGAATTATAGCATGACCATGTTTTTAGGAGAGAAAATTTGTTCTCAAGCAAGACTCCAGGAAAGGACTAATTAAGTACAAGCTTAAGCCAGTTGAAAGAATAAACTTAAGCAACTTTAAGCATCTTACTTCATTTTCATCCATTAGAAGATTGGCAGCCTTCAAATCCCTATGGATTATATTATTTTGGTGCAAGTAGTTCATTCCTTTGGAAACATCTATTGCAACTTTAAGCAATGATGGAAGCTTGAAAACACCCTTCTGTTTATGAAGGTAGTCATATACACTTCCACCAGACATAAATTCTGCAGAGAGAAAACAAAGGAGAAGGCAAAAATGACAGAGAAAAAGAAAACTAACATTAATATTTTCTTTCATTTGCAAAAGAATAACCAAGAGATGGAGAGAATGATAATCTTAAATCTCACTTTTGTCAAGTTAATAAAGAAAACTAAAGAATCAGCAGGCTACCTGTTATAATACACAAGCTTGGAGGCTTGGTACAGGCACCAATAAATTGTACAACATTCTTATGCCGAACTTTCCTGCAAATTTTAAAGGGAATCATTGACTAAAGCAACAGATTTTTCCTAGAACTAATGCAGTCATGAGTCATCCAAAAGAAGAATTCTGTTTTGATAAATATTAAAAACCAGTGCATTTGATGATGAAAGAAAAGGGTAAAAGTTAGAAAACCGATCAAGAACATCAAAATCCAGAGTAACTACTTCCTAAATGTACATTTATGTCACTGGTATTCTTTCTATAAACATACATCGAAGTATACAACATCTAGAAACATAAACACAGCAATTAGAGAAGCCTAATGTTATCAGCTAATCATCAATCTAACTGAGCTTATAGGACATTCAAACCACAAAAAGAAGGTATCTTTAACTTCAGATTTTTAATATCCTTGAAATTGACAATAAGTTAGGAAAAACCACCGCTTCACACTTATTTTCTTTTTTTTTTAAGGTTGGGGGGGGGGGGGGGGGGCACAACTTATAATCAATACATCGAGATATTTCTCCACAAACCTCATGATGAAAACTTCCTGGGCAAACTCTTTCTGCATATCAGCATTTATACGCTCTGGCTTTAGGACCTTAATAGCCACTTCCTGACTACAGTAAGTACCTTTATACCTAAAACAGGTTAAAAAGGACAATTATATTAAAGCTCAAGAAAAGCTCAATCAGAAAGTTATTAATTCACTTACAGATCGCCATATGACCCAGATGCAACTTTATTCTCGAACTTCAAGTGTCTAGGGTCAATTTCCCAAACATCAGTCCCATCATTTGGAATTGCCACATAATTCTGATCACCATTGGTGCCCATTTCCTCATAGTCCCTTGTAGGAGAAAAGGAATTGTGCTTCAGCCAAGATTGCTTCTGCAAAAAACCCATTGAAAGAAAAGTCTGGTTTGAGTTGCTCACAATTTAAGCACAAACTTTTAGCTAATAAATTCCAACTCTCATATTAAAAATTTCCATTTCTCTATAAACATTAAGCATTTCAGCATATACCTTACCTAGAATTGAACCAATCACTTATCAGTGGAAAACAGAAAGAAAAGAGCATGGAACACATCCAAAGAGCTTATGCAGATCACAAGACACATATTAACCAATTAGGATTCGAAGCCGATTAATCCTAAACCTTGGAAAGGGGAGGAAAAGGGCTTAGTTTCATTATGTTAGGGTTGTAGCATAAATGATTTTCTGTCACCAGGCGTGCTATTTATTAAACTAGCTAAAAGTAGTTGACCATTCACCGCATGTAGACTCCAGTGAAGAACAACGCAAGGGTCTAATGATGCATCGAAATGAACATTTGTATCATGATATTGCAAATTTGAAACATTTCAAGTAACACAAGGGGTAATTTACAGTTGATCAATTTTTAATATTATCATGCAGTGCTCCACTTGGAAAGAGAAAACCATCAAAGGCAAACAGGGCAAAAATTTTATTAAATTAGACTCTCAATAAACCAATACGTAAACATAATAGGGCAAGATAAAAATGATAAGCACACTCAGTGCAAGTGAATTTAAGCCTTGCTGATACGACTAACCCCACAGCATTCCATATTAATCACTAGAGTTGTGGGAATTAAAACACCTTGACAAAAAAAGAAAAGAAAAGAGATCTTTCACAGATAATACCCTAGATAACATTCAAAAGTCTCATAAGAAATTTGAACACACTTAAAACTGCCATAGGGAATTACCTCAAGTTTTAAGACTTCCTTTTCCAAAGCAACTTTAAGCTGCTCTGTTTCCTGACAATTTCATATCAGAAGTCCGTTAAGCAAGTTCTAAAAAATTATAATTTTCTACTATAGAAAACCATTTCAGTACAGAAATAAGCACTCATCTCTAAATGGAATTTTAATTTGAGTCCCAAGAAAACAAAAATAATTACTATCTCCATTAACAAATGAAAGAATTCAAAAGTTGATGAAACAGACAGCTTATATAATATTGATAGGTAAACATAAAATATTGGAAAACCAATCATGAGAGCTGTTATTTTATAAGTTTTAGTTAAATGGTATTTGTACAAAACAATTTTGTCCATAACTAGAGAAGTATGATATTAAAATGAGAAGTACCTCAGAAGGCCAACCATCAACAACAAAAACATCTAAGGAGTAACCATCGATTGTGGAAAATGCATGTGCTTCCTGGATGTTCAGCCCAATCTCAGCAAGCAATGTGGTCAACTGCAAGTATTGCATGGGCATGACCCAATGGAATGAGAAGAATACTGCATGGTCAGATATTTAGAAAGATGTGCATTTCACATATAAGCTCAAAGACTCTAGTGGAATAATTAAACAGTGGATAAAAATAAAATAATAGTTGTTTTTACATGCAAAATGACTAGCCAGATGCGCTGCCAGTTGATTGAACCAAGAACTCATATGGAACCTAAGATACATTGTTTATCATTATTTTATTCCAAAAGAATCTAAGAGTGTAACCATAAAAGTTCTTAAAGCAACAACTTCAAGAGAACAAGATGATAAAAAAATTACACTTCTAATTTGATAAACAAACCTATCATATACCTGACTGAGAAGCTTTGGTTTGTCTTCTGTTGAAAATGTAATTTCATGCATGGGCCTGCATCAGCACGAATTAGAAAAGAATGTAAATTTCACCATCCAAATGGATAGAAAGTATTTATAAAACTTCACCAAAATGACACAAGTAACAGTCGATGAAAAGTAAGACAGATAGACAAAAGCTGAAAATGACAATAGATGTCATCACACGAATGAGCATAAACACACCTAAAACTAAAGTCAACAAAAGACAGCGGGTGAGGAAGCATGATTCTCGGGCAAGAAAACTTGAACTTTAACAAGATCTTATTAATTAATGCACTTCAAAATATTTAGAAGAACCAATATATAATGTTCAAAAACAATAAGATAACCAAGTCCAAAAAACCAAATTACCACTACCTTAACTAAAATCTTAGTAGAAGCAATCGGCCCTTGCCTATGGACATTTTAAGACATAAATAAATACCAGGAAAATTGTGAATTGGCATGTACAGAACTATCTCCATCTTGATCTTGAGATTCATTTACTTCAAGTGCAAGGGCTTCAAGATTAGGCGATGAGCCAAAGGCAGGTGGTGGATGTTTGCTGACAATTGAAAAGCCAGCCAGAATAGTAAGCATCATCAACAACACCAGTCAATGTGCAAAATAAACAATCAAAGCAAACCTCTGCCCACTAGAGTGTTTCTGAGAACTTTGAGCTGATTCCTCACGCAGGGGGTTGGAAAGAGTAGAATCAGCTAAACTCCCATCAGAAATAGATTGGACCTACACAATCACATAACCATCATGATACATTTGACTAATGAAGTTTAGAAGTATCAGAACATTTGAAAACAATCAAGAGCTGGGACCTATGCATTATGAAAATTAAATGACACATCAATTCAAATACAGAACTGGAACTTTTAGAAGAAACCTGCAAGATGCTCACATATAGATGGGTACAAAAGCAGTATCAAATAGAAAAAAAATATGTAAAGTTATCGATTGGAGAGTGAGAGAGACAAATGCACTTTTAAAATAATGTTGAACTGCATAAGAACTTACATGGTTAGGGTTTACAAAGTGAGAAAAAGGAATGACAAAATGTGCTTGGAAATCATTTAAATTAAACTGCTAACAGTGTTGATTATGCACATACATCAGATAGAACATTTTACAATCAGTTAGCTTCATAACCTTATTCATAGTTTATGGCCCGAATAAAGAAGCATGTGGAACAGGATGATAGTAGTAGCAACTGCAATTGTCAACTAGATAATTGATATGTTTATTGACAACTATAGTTTAATGCTATGCATTCATTTTTAGAAAGTTTTAAAAGGATCAATTTACAATTGAGATAAATAAATGCATCTACCAATGCCAATAAGCAATCAAACATTATTATGATAAAGAACATTCTAAATTTCATAAGTATCTCTCCCTATCTTTCCACAATTACCATGAATAGAAGAGACAACACGAAAATTGATCTCCATGATGTGAAGATGAAGTATACAGACGCAAACAGAAAGAATAAGTCAGCTTCAGCCAACTAAATTTCAGACAAAGTCGAGATAAACTGGATGGGGTGTTTTGTATGTGACAACTATAGGCAACAAAAACCTTTATGCTAGCCTACCGAGATTTGGGCAAATCCAGTCAACTTCAAAGTCCAAACCATAAACCTAAAACTTACTAAAGAAAAATAATGCATGCACTTCCGCATACTTTTTCCATATGTCAAAGATAAGGCAATCTAACTTCTTTGATTACACAATGCAAAGAACAACTTATATATAAGAACACCATGGGACTGGAGCCCCAAAACAGTGAAATAATATTTCAACTTCCAAACTTTCACTCATATATAAGAATAACCCTTGTAAATATAATGTATCGTTGTATACAATGAATGTCTCTAATAATTTTAAAAAGTTAGTTAGTGAGTAGTAGGACCTGACAACTTTTAATTTTCCAAAATCTGATAAGGCCGGGTAAACCACATCACATAACTCTCACATTAACCATACACATCCTATCTTTCTAAGAATGCCAAAGAAATTAATGTTTAGCAATAACTATCTTTCATGTATACCAAAAAAATAGAGCAAATCCTAATGCCTAGTTATGAAATGCAACCAAAAATAGCAGGTCACCTGCACGAGACGAACTTCCATTGCTGGTCTGTTGGCAGGATCATGAGCCAAATGCAGTAACCTTTGATGCATAAGTACATCTTCTGCTCTTTCCACATTCACATCCAACGCATAGCTGCAATGTATTAAGTCACGCTTAATTAAAACAACTATTTATTAATTCAACAAAAATCAGAACATTAAATTACCCGAGAAATAAAAAGAAAAATGAAAAAAAAAAAAGAAAAATTAAATCTGCCTCACTCTACTTGTTTCTGATCTTATTGGCAGCAAGCCAAACATCAAAAACACGATAACAATCCACTAATAAAAAAGGAACAACAAAATCTTAAGCAAGAAAATTGCATATTAAGCACTACTGATTTAACCTATTAAGCCAAACACTTCCTTAACTCCAAACGCTATATATTCTTCGAAGACCAAAATCCAAACAGAAAAAAAAAAAAAATCGTATCTGAGATTCAGTGCATCGATAAAAGAAAAGCTTTATAATCACAAAATAACAATTACAACAGATATAGATATAAGAAAAAATATGTGAAAATGTTACTAAATATATATATATATATATAATATATATTTTTGTATTTTATTCATGCAGAAAAAAAAAGTGTGAAAGGATATACCGACTGGGGAGACGTTTGAAGTGAGTCCAAAGTTCGTCTTCGAAACCAGGCCGATTAGCCTCTTCTTTGTCGGATTCTCGAAGCCGCCGGAGCACCTCATTGTACACATCGAGCTTTTGCCGCTGTTGCCGGCTCTGCAACGGCGATGTGTCGTTCGCTTTGCTCCCGCAACTCTCGTTATCCTCCATCACCATTGAAAAAAAAAAAAAGAAAATATACAAAAAAGCAAAAAAAAAAGGGGAAAAGAAAATAAAATAAAAGCCAAAAGGAAAGGAAAGGAAAGGAAAGGTGTGAATGTGATGATATTTTGCTTTTCGTTTACGATGAGTTTATATGGAGACGCAGATTTTTTATACAAATTAAAACATAAAAACATTTTCATTCTTCAACATGAAACCCAGGTTCCGGAAATTATTTAAAGGTGTAATGCGCACCACTCAATCAGTCGGCGTGGGATTACATTTCGACCTATTCGATTTTGCTTTTGGTTTTTTCTAAATCCTTTATTAAAAGCCATACCACCCTCTTTCTCCAATAAGATTTGGCTGTTTTTTGTTTCACTCTCGTGTCCAAACAAGCTATCCCAAGTGGCATATTCTGGGTCCTTAATGTTTCATTTAAATGGTGAGATTCCAGTTAATGGGAAAGTGACACTGACCTTGTTCATCCGTTCATCAAGAGAAAGGAAACGGACACTGTGGGCAAAAGGATTTTTGCTTCCCCGGTGCTTGGAGCAGTGGTCAATCAGTAGGGTCACCTTTGATTTTTGGTAGGTTAGGTGTCTTTATCATCAAGAAACTGCATTAGCATAACCAAGACTGTAGTCTTTTTTTTTTTTTTCCATATACAGAAACAGTTCAAGTAACAAATATTATGTTTGGGTGAATATAAGATAGAAGATATGTATAGTTACTTTAAGGTTTTGGATTCAATTTTTTTTTATCTTTTATGTTATGATTGAGGTTAGTATTGGAGACCTTCAATTTTTGAACCGATTTTTTTAATTATAAGTTACGATTATTTGCTATTGAAACCAGCGAGAGAATTAATTTTTTTAACAAAAAAAGGCAATGGGGTTACAGTAATAATTATTAGTTCACATGAAATGTGTGAAAAAGCTTTGCATAGAAAGAGAAAGGTTGAAAAATGTTGAGATACTAGCTAGAAGATCAAGGTTGATTTTTTTGTAGTCGTTGATGGTGGCTTCTGAGGTTGAGAGTGAACCTGAATGATAAGAACATGATATAATTTGAGCCACGAGGGTGACATTTCAGTTTGCCACCTGTTTTAACCTAGTTCATCGGATTCATTGTTTTATGAACCGCCTGCTTCAAATCTTGTTCATTTTCTGGTAGACTGCAAGTAATTGTTAAAGTTTCAATTTAAGTTTTAACCATGTTCATATTTTTTGGGGGGCCAGCGCCTGTGGGAAGTGTGGAAACATAGAGCATTTCCAGTGTTATAAAGACGGTGAAAACTTTATAGAAATCTCAAAGATTTTGTTCGATGTTTGCTGATCCATTGGCAATAAAATCCGTATGTATGGCTTCTCCCAATATGGAGTGTCAGTAACCACAGTAATAGATTACAGGAAAATGACTCTAATGGGTTAAGAGTACATCCACCAGCAGGTAGCTGCAGGAGTACAAAGTAAATATATATTCAGAAATTACCCCATCAGCATATCTGCATCATCCATCTCTTCATCATCACTCTCATCCTCACCTTCCTGAAGCCACCGTTCAAGTTCGTCCAACTCCTCATAGTCATGCATGTATGAACCGTCTAAGTCGTTCCACGGATCAGTCCCTATTTCCTCACCACGGCAAGCAACATGCAAGAATGGTCTATTCCTAGCTAAAGCATCCACAATATCTCTATTTACACTCCCTGTCACACCCAGCCATCTCAATCTTGGAAAATAAGGCTTCTTCAACCACCGGAATGAAAGTTGCGTGATGCCACCACAATTGTAGAGATCCAACAATTGCAAACTACTACCATGCCCTCTGTCATCATCAACCTGCATTGAGGCTAGTGCCATGACTGAAGTGTCACCGATGAGTGGACATTGTCTCATTCGCAGTTCAGCAATTGGAACCCGATGTTTTGCAAGTGTTAAAACTCCATTATCAGAGAGATTAGGAAGATTAGATAGGTCCAGCTCCTGCAACTGCAGTTTATAAGAGCCATCAAATAGCGCAGAGATGCATTTATCTGTAAGTTTCTTGCATCCTCTAACAGATAATGAAACCAATGAGCCAATAATCCCATGTTGCAAGTATGCCATTCCTACATCAGTTATATCAGAGCCGTCCAACAGTAACATCTTTAATTTACAGAGAGAGCCAATAGCTCGTAGGGCTTCATCCCCAAGGTTTTTGCAGTCCCTCAAATCAAGAACTTTAAGATCCAAGTTGCAGACCAAACTCCTGATCGCATGGTTGGTTAGAAGATTACACCATCCCAAACTAACATGAGTCAAAGAAAGGGAAGTTGCAGCAATGTCATGAAAAACCAGATCAGTCAACTGGGATCCATGGGACACCTTAAGCTTGTACAGATTTGAGCAAGAATGCAGAATTGTCTTAAAACCTGAATCTGTAACACGACAAAAGCCACCAAGGCAAATGCTTTCCATGTTTGCACACTTGTCAGCCATCAGTAGTATACCAAGATCATTTACTCGCTTAAAGTAAGTAATAAGGAACTCCTGGCTCCTGACAAGAGAAAGATGTTTCAATCTCCCATGCTGATTGATCTGTTGAAGGCCAGAGTTGGTAAGATCAAATGTAACTCGTGGTTCTATAAGAGGTGCATCTCGAAGTTCCAAGTGTGTCAATAAGATGAGACCTTTTGATATTGTACCAACCATTGTATCTGTAATATAATCAACAGAAAGAGATAACTTCTGGATGCCAGGCAATACAGAGGGTCGAATTTGATTTGGACACTGATGGGGTCCAACATTAGGGCTAAGCAGTTCGGTCACCATAACTGACGAAATGTAGCCAATCTCAAGAGAGGTGAGCTTTTCTGAAGCTAAAGTCCAAACCCGAGCAAAGTTATGACGAAGAAATAGCGATATGTCAAACATCAGATTCAGTGCCTGCCACAGAATTGAAAAGAAAATGGAATGCATGTCAGGTGGCATGTGTTAGATCGGTAAAAAATGATACAGATGTAGTTTATGCAGGAAAAACATACATTAAAGAACTAGAAAAACATACATCCAAAATCAGCCAGCCTTCTGGGTAAATTATATACATGAAAACATATACAGTTTGTGATAATGCCAATAAACAATCAATTATCAGATCAGTCAATAAGGAAGATAATGTACCCACTCCAGTAAATTTATGAACTAAATGAATATTAATGATCTATTGTGTTAGTGTATGCATGCGTGTGAGTTGGAATATTATGGGAATATTCCATGAGAGACAGTTTAGGAGGGATTAATTGGGAGCATTAATGTGTAATTTGTAATTAATTCTCTTTCCTTAGTATTGTCTCTATAATGAAAGGCTAGCTAATTTTCCATTTCCATTTATTCACATATATCCTATTGTACCATAGAATGGTATGAATTCAGTAAGAAATCGGAAGATGATTATAATATTATTGGTGATATTAAATCTGCGACTTTGGAATAGTCTAAACTGTCAAGTATTTCTTGAAAAGGCCAACCATTTCCTGCCCGCCTCTCAGTCGAGGGCTAACCCTTGAAATGGGCTACAACTGACTTTTATGTTCAAGCATGCGACATTGCCGAAGAAATCATAATAGTAGATGTCCAAAAACTAGAAACGCTGTCTTTTTGGAAATATATCAACTCCTTTTCTCCTTTGAAAAATGAATCTATGTACAAGGGGCTTGTCTGGTCTACAAGTAAATAGCTAACTGGTTCCATCATATGTTTAACGTATCAACGACAATTTCCTTTAATCGTTTACTAATCTTTAAGACCTCTTTCTTATTAATTACTTTCACAAATAAGCCTTACTTCTAATTGGGTGCAACCACCGAGTAATTCCTCCAGGTCAGAAATATGTATTGCCCGACCCCTTTTCTCAGCCACTGAACCCAAGTAGAGAGACCTGAATGAAAGTTAACATATAAAGCTAATAACAACATCTCCTGGAAGTGGTAAGAAAAACAGCATCATATATCACACATCAACCATTTCCACAGCAAAGCAAATATCTAAATGGCAAAAGAACCTTTACCAAACACCATGAAAAGATATATACCTTAAGTCCTTGCATCGTGATCCGATTTCAGAAAGTAGTTTTCCACTAAAATCTGCACAATTGTGTAAGCAAAGTTCCTGTAAAGAAGGTCGAAGTAATAGCTCAATAGATGAATCACTAAGCTGACCACAATTAAGCTTTAAGCTTTTAAGGTGAGGGTTTGGTGGCAACAGTGGCTTGATCAATTCCATAGTCGGCGAAATGTCCTGCCAAATTATCAAAATACATCAATTCTCTGTGAGAAAAACAAACTATTACAATTCAATTTGAAACTCCAAAAATCACATCAATATTCAAAAGTTCAGATTTTCATTTGTTTATGGAGGATCTGACGACCAAAAGAATAAAAAGTTAATACCTTTCTTCAATTCCAAACCCAGATCAACAAAAAAAAATGATAGGAAATTTGAAAACAACAACAACACAACAAATAATTGAGAAAGCAACAACAAAACAGCTAAAGATCCAAACTTTGAAGCAAACAAGGACAGTAAAACTTACAAGGATGTGGAAATGGGGAAGAAAAGAGAGGATATGAGAAGCACAGGAACTGAAAGTCCTGCATGTGACAGCCAATGAGCAGATGGAAGAGACATCAAGCTTCGTCATTATAGTAGCCAGAAGGGCCGTAGGCAACCGATCCAGGGACTCCAGGCTCCCACTCGCCATCCTTTTTCTTTTTTTTTAGTTTGATTCGTTTCTTGATGCTTTTGACCAAGAATTCGACCTGGGTATTTGGGTATTAGCCAATTTCTTTACTTTGTTGAGGCAGGAAGGAGATAGAGAGAACAAGTGGGGTTTCGTCAAGAACTGGTGCACATTTTAGATGGTACCCGCAACATCACATGGAGCTTAGTAGATGATTGTTCTTTACTTTGTAAGGTCATAAATCTAGGATCCTGTCCTTTGCTATCTCTACGCTATTAGCTTCCCTTTTATCGGACACTGTAAGTAGATTCATGATTCGTGTTAAATTTTGTTAAGCACGAAATCTATTTTTTTTTTTAATTTTAAATTGTATATATTTTTTTATTATTTTGTTTTTTCATCAAATTTGATCGATCATGTGATAAGTTTATCAGGTTCGTTGCCTTGTTTGACAATCATGGAGAATAGCTTAATCAGACCTAACCGATGTGGCCTCATGTGGGCTTGTTTGCCGGCTCTTGTAGTTTGGAGGAAACCAAATATGGGTACGGATAACCACCCTTTCTTGTATTGATATGCTTTCTCTGTTTTACTTTAAAGTTAAGCGTTGAATCTTCAACTTACCAAAACCATGGTGTTGAAGAAAAAACTAAATGAACTGCCAAAAGGCCAGAATTAAGCACACCTCAGGACATGACATGAGCTAATTGCAAATAAAAGTATCCCTGTCCCAAAATATCAGCCGGTTGTTATCAGTACCGGATCCAAGATCTTTTCTCGTAAATATCAAATATCTACTGAATGCTGGATCTTGACTGGATATAAACTATAGCCAGATATTGAGTAGTGGCAATGAGTGGAGTGATTAGAGAATTAAGAAAGACATGTTCAGAAGAAAATTGCGAGGGTGCCTAAGAAAAAATTTTGGTTGTCCGAGACAAAATTTCCCTTCAATTTTTTTTGTTTTCCAATCTTTGGGGGTTATCCATTGATACCCTAGCTTACCATTTGCAGCCTCCATTGCATGCTACTCAAATTTTCCAGACCATGCAGATGATGTATTTTTAGCAAATTTCAAGATATCCACCAAAGTTAACCAGATCAACTAACAATCATCAATGTAAATTCACAACTTTAAGCGTCTCATCAATTGCAGAATGCAGGAAAAAAATCATTAACTCAAGTCACCAACATTGAAGCCTCTATAAACAGCATAATCTATGAAGCTATATAGTGGTGCAACACTGTCACCATACTTGTCAAACCCATCCAATTCGTTCTTCGCCTTGGTCCAAAGCTCCTCTACCACCTCCATCGCTTTCTCAATCCCATACAAACTCACATAACTTTTAACTTTCTTTTGATTCTTCTCCATTTCTTCATTTTCCATCAATTTTGCCTCCAGAACATCATTCACCACTTCATACAAGACACCAACAGCTCTCCCATACCTCCTCAAACTTCCTATCTCATCATCTTTAGCACCAGCCAACAATCCCCCACACACAGCAGAGCACTCGCTCATTTCACCATATTTTTTTTCTTGAATATAATCAACAGAATTGGGGCCACCTTTGAGGTCCAGGAACTGCCCGGCAGCCATGCCAGTAGACCCCACAGTGCGGGCAATCTCAGCAATCACTCGCAAGAGGCGGACCTCAGGAACAATTTCAGTAGGTGTGTGTGAGACAATATGGCGGAAGCCAAGAGGGAAGAGTGCATCACCAGCAAGGATTGCCATGTCAACACCATAGATTGTATGGTTTGATGGTTGGCCTCTGCGTACTGGATCATCATCCATGCAGGGAAGGTCATCATGAATTAACGAAGCAGCATGAACCTGTGTAAAAAAGATTGAAGTTATAACTTGCATCTACCTCGATGCAGGTTTTATAAAGTTACTGGAATGTTACACCCCTTGTAAACTACTTACAGACAATGTAAAAGCCGACTTCACTTTAAACAATAGAAAACTTTCAAACAGCGAATAAAAAATGTCTCTTGGATTGCGGGGCCTTGATCTTGACATAACAATTGGTTATTGTAGCAGCCTTAATTCATATTTGGATAAGAAAATATATACTAAAACAAAGCTAAAACTATGAAGTTAAAAGTGAAGTATGAATTCCATGGCACATGAATCAGTTCAATCCTACTCCATTTGTTTATGAATTATGATTATGGCTGGATTCACAATAAGTTAGGCATCCTTGTGTATAATCCTGGCTATCATTCTCATTCTATTAAGATTCTTTTATTAATTTGGACATTGATTTTATTCAAAAACAATGGGAAAGGTTACTTTTTTCATGTTCAACCCAAATTCTAGTTACTTTTTTCATGATCAACCCAAATTCTAGTTGCAAACAACGATCAAATCAACCCCTGATTCTCTAAAATTAAAAGGCATTAAAGAACTAACCAGGAATCTTTATCCCATACTTTATCTACTACAGTTCCACCATGAAATATTCTACAAATGCTTCAATTAAGTCCAACCAAAGTTTTGTACTATATACCACCAAAAAGGGATTAGATCATATCAACAGAAACTCCCAATCCAAGAAACAGAGGAAATTGGATATGTACAAGGAAAGACAGGACCAACCATTTCAAGAGCACAAGCAGTAGGAAAAGCGGCAAGTCTGTTACCACCAAAAAGTTCATACGCAGCCACACACATAACTGGAGGGGCTCGCTTAGCACCCTTTGCTAGAACAGAGTACCTCATTGCTTCATAGATCTGCTCTGGGTACTTCACTGGGATTGCTTCTTCAAGCTTCTGATTGATTTCTGCAATAAGGGTGGTCCAGTAAGTCTTCAAATCGAACTCGGTTAACTTTGATTGCCTTGAAGCTGATACAGACGGTGAAGAAAGGCAGCGAATTGGGAAATTAAAGTTCTGGGGTTTCTTGGGAAGGAAGAGGTTTGGCCCTGATGTTACCAACGTTGAAAAACCCATCATTGTTTTTCTCTGTAAGAATTGATTAAGATTTTGATGGTTGGAATTGGTAAAATGTAAAGTGAGATTGAATTGGAAACTGTAAAGTGAACAGAGGGAAGGAAGCTACACGTTTGCTGAACGGAGAAAAAAGATGAGTTTTTTTCCGTAAGAAAAGAAAAATCCACAAATCAATGTTCTGCCACGTCAGCGTCTACAATAGATGTTGGTCCCCGCTTTGAACAAGCTGTCTTTGTTTTTGTCTTTGTTAGGTCAATCAAAAGCCCATTTTGTCCTAAAAATTTTGTATTTCCATTGCAGAAGCCCATTAAGTTTAAGGGCCTTTTCCAGAAAATAAGAATCGATAAAAAGAACAATCTTCATTCTTGAACCATGGTTTGTTATGTAAGTTGTATTTCTAAAAGGTCAGACTGATAGTGAGCAATCGATTAACTGCGAAAATAGAGGAAAGCACAGACTTATATTGTGGCCTTTTTGGTTTGAAGCTATATGTGTCTTGAAATGGTTACCACTGATGTAATGCATCCAAGGTTAAAACTTCGTGAAAAGGCCAAAGAGAAGTTTTCATATCAGATGATTCTTGAGTGGCTGGACTTAAATGGAATGTGGTTTTCTTTCATATAGCAGTTGGATTATTGTGTTATGCACTCTGTTCATGAGGTGGCCACTAAGTGGTCAAGTCAGAAATGACATTTTCATGTTATTTCATTGACCGTGAATGAAGATATATATTCGCCTCTTGTAACCAGTATTTCTGCAATAAATTTGTAGTATTGACCAAGATTTTCTCTCAATTCAATCTTACATGTAACAGCATCTTAAAAGCTGGTTTGGTGATTGCAACAGGCAGAAATAAAAACATTAGATTATCAGCCATGTTGTACTTCTGCTTCACGATTGGCTGATTATCTAGCTATGATTGCACTTTGTATATGTTTGCTTAAACGGCAAAGACTATTTCTTTTATTCTGCATATACTTCCATAAAAACAAAAGACAAACGTCCTTATTGGTGGTAGGCTGGCAACTGACAAGTGACCATTTTACGGCGGCTCTTTTTGTCATGTGTTTTTAGTTTAGTTTCTTGTTTCTTTGTGAGTAGTTGGGTGAAGTTCCTCGATCTGAATGAACTCTCCTTCCACGTGTAGTGTTCTAGCTTGTTACCACCTTCACTTTCTAAGGAAACTGCAAGAAAAGAAAAATTGAAAGTACGCAGTTATAAAATGCAAAACGAGAAAAGATAATGCTAATCTTAACCAGCTTTCTCTCTTTATGACTGAGTATACTATTGAATGGCTGCAGATCATCCTACTCTCCTGCAAAAGTTTCAATCCATGGCAGATTGGTCACAACCAACTCCCACCTGAACTTCTATCTCTAATAGCCAAACGCCTTGGAACCAGTTTTGATGTTCTCCGATTCCGATCTGTCTGCTCTATATGGCGTTCCTCATTTCAACCAAAAGTTCACCCTTTACTTGGACGGCAATCATCAAATGCCAAATTTTGTGATAATGGATACTTCCTCGACGGTTTTAGCATAAACACCTTTTACCTTGTTAGATTGCCCGGGTCTAACCAAACAGATCCTGCTTGCTGGTTGGTCAATGTCAGAGATGGTACAGATGAGTTGAAAATGCGACTATTAAATCCCCTTTCAGATTCTGAGTTGTAACCTCTTCCGATAAATTTTCCAAAGGTACTGGATTTAACAAACTTTCAAGTCATTGAATTGGGTCATCATTTTGTTGGTCAATGTTTTTTCAGTCATACTCCTGGATTTCGTAAAGTCATACGATTCAGGGAGAAAATTGCCTTCATGTGGTCAAGTAGCAACAGTAATGATTTATGACGCTCACCGTATTTCGCTCCGTTGACCCGTGCGTGGTTTTGTTTAGATCCGGACAAAAAGGAAAGACTCCAATTGAAAATGTGCGTGGTGTTCAGGATATTATTCCTTTAATGGCAAGTTCTATGCCATTGAGAAAGAAGGAAGAACTATAGTCGTAGACCAATATTTTAAACGTTAGTTTCATAGAACTTGTTTGCTCTCCCACTAACGGAAAGTTCTTGGTTCAGTCTGGTGATAATTTGTTGACTATTGAAATGCTTTTCCTCACAAGTTCACATTCCGATGTTCAAAGCCCTTTGAATATTGGAAGCTCAGTAAGCCATAAGGTGGTTGGTTTTAGAATTTTCAGGTTGGATGAAGAAGAGCAGAAGTGGGATAAGATGGAAAGTTTGGGGCAGCAAATCCTGTTTCTGGGTTTGCGTCAATCAATTTCTGCATCAGCTTCTGAATTTTATTGGGGTAAAGGAAATCTCATATTCTATCCGAGGGGTCTCTCCATGGGTTCACGTTATTATAATTCTGATGATAGACTTATGTTTGTGTTTGATTTAGACACCGGTACTGCTAGTCCTTTAGAGAATTGCCCTACCTACTGTAACTTGTTCTGGCCACCACCTTGGTGGGTAACTTCTCCAGAATCAGTGATTTCTTCACCAGAAGTTATAAGCAACTCTACTTGTTCATTAACCTCAGCTACACCAGAAATTGAATACGAGTATCCTGATTCGAATTTAGAAATCTCTAGAAGACAGGTTCGAGGCAAATCTCCTGAAGGAGTGACTTCTGCAGGACAAGAAGTCGGATCTCCTGGTTCCAAGCGCAGCAAATCTCCTGAAAGGGTGACTTCCGCAGGGCAAGAGGTCGCATCTCCAAGTTCATAGTGCAGCTTCAAATTTTGTTGTTTCTAACTCGTATTCCCAAGTCCTTTTGTTTAATCCTAAATTTTCAATTTTCAATTGGCTTGATGGCAGTCTGATGGCATTGGTATATTTGTTACAGTTCATTGTCATCGTAACTCCTCCTGTTGTTTCATTTGTTGGCTAGTTAGAAACGAATTACTTCTGTGGCGCACCTATTGTTTTGCTCCGAGTAACTTTCTAGTTTGAAAGACAGCTGGTGGTCATATGCACTCTGTTAATCCATAAAACAGGCTATGAAAATGAGACCCCAAAAGGACCAAGAATAGCAATTTGATCAATGCATAATCCTCTTCCCTTTACTAACACGATTTTAAATTTAAAAATAAAAAATAAAAACTTTTAGACTGATAATCCTAATGCTAAGAAACATACAAAAGATTAGATCACCGATTTCTCTTAACGTGTCAGCCACCCAATGAAACTATGCAACTTCATTTTCTACTATCCATACAACTTTTCTCACATAGGATCATGAATCTTTGATTTCACTCTCTCAGGAGCATTTTCGGAAGCTCTTCTTGCTTTGAGACTCCCCGTACATGACCACACCATCTCAAATTGAGCCGCATATGGTTTTTGAAATTTCCATTCGGGTTTCTCCTTAATAACATTTCTCTTTAATGTAATTTCATTGACTGTGAATGAAGATATATGTTCGCCTCTTGTAACCAGTATTTCTGCGGTAACTTTGTACCATTGACCAAGATTTTCTCTCAATTCAGTCTTATGTGTAAACAGTATCTTAAAAGTTGGTTTGGCGAATGCAACAGGCAGAAATAAAAACATTGTATTATCGGCCATGCTGTACTTCTGCTTCATGGTTGGCTTGTCTTTGGCTGATTATCTAGCTATGGTTGCACTTTGTATTTGTTTGCTCTAACGAAAAAGACTATTTCTTTTATTCTACAGACACTTTCATAAAAGCAAAAGACAAACGTCCTCGTTGGTAGTAGGCTGGCAACTAATAAGTGCCCATTTTTAAATGGCTCTTTAGTCTTTCCAACTTATTCAATAGTAGTAGTAGTATTTTGTCATTTGCTTTTACTTTAGTTTATTGTTTCTTTGTCGGTTGTTAGGTGAAGTTATCGCTTTCCAGGAAACTGCAAGAAAAGAACAATTGAAAGTATGCAGTTTTAAAATGTGAAACAAGAAAAGATTACGCTAATCTTAACCAGCTTTCTCTCTTATGACCGAGTATACCATTGAATAACTACTGGTCATCCTACTCTCCTGCAAAAATTAATCTTAACCCATGGCAGATTGGTCAGAACTCCCACCTGAACTTCTATCTCTAATAGCCAAAACGCCTTGAAACCCGTTTTGATGTTCTCCGATTCCGATCTGTCCGCTCTTCATGGCGTTCCTCATTTCCACCACAAGTTCACCCTTTACTTGGACGGCAATCATTCAATGCCGGAGTTTATAATTATTCATACTTTCCCGAAGGTTTTAGCACAAACACCTTATACCTTGTTAGATTGCCGGGGGCTAACCAAACAGCTCCTGCTTCCTGGTTGGTCAATATCCGAGAATATGATACCCATGGGGTGAAAATGCGACTATTAGATGCCCTGTCAGATACTGAGTTAGAACCTCTGCCGGTAAATTTTCCAAAGGTGTTGGATTTAACAAACTTTCAAGTCATTGAATTGGGTCATCAAATTTTTTGTCAGTATCTTTCCTATTATGGTGACCCCCTAGCGAGTTAGATGATAGAGGCATCGAAATCAGAGAGAAAGTTGCCTTCATGTGGTCCAAGTACCAACAGTAATGATTTTATGACGCTCACCGTATTTCACTTTGTTGTCCCATACGTGCTTTTTTTTAGATCGGGACAAAATGAAACGACTCGACTTGAAAATGTGCGTGGTGTTCATGATATTATTTCCTTTAATGGCAAGTTCAATGTCATTGAGAAAGAGGGAAGAACTATAGTCGTTGACCAATCATTAAACGTTAGTTTCATAGAGCATGTTAGCTCTCCCACTAGCAAAAAGTTCTCGGTTCAGTCTGGTGATAATTTGTTGGCTATTGAAATGCTTTTCCTCACAAGTTCAGATTCTGATTCTGATGATGAGAGACCTGTGGTGTCTGGTTTTAGAATTTTCAGGTTGGATGAAGAAGAGCAGAAGTGGGATGAGATGGAGAGTTTGGGGCATCAAATCTTGTTTCTGGGTTTGCGTCAATCAATTTCTGCACAAGCTTCTGAATTTTATTAGGGTAAAGGAAATCTCATATTCTATCCGAGAGGTCTCTCCTTCAGTTTTCACTGTCCTGATTATTATGAAAATGGACTTTGTGTTTGATTTAGACAATGGTACTGCTGGTCCTTTAGAGAATTGCCCTACCTACTGTAACCTGTTCTGGCCACCTCCTGAGTGGGTAACTTCTCCAGAATCAGTGATTTCTTCACCATAAGTTATAAGCAACTCTACTAGTTCAGTAAATTTAGCTACACCAGAAATTGAATACGAGTATCCTGATTCGAATTTAGAAATCTTTAGAAGAGAGGTTCGAGGCAAATCTCCTGAAGGAGTGACTTCTGCAGGACAAGAAGTCGGATCTCATAGTTCCAAGCGCAGCAAATCTCCTGAAAGAGTGACTTCCGCAGGGCAAGAGGTAGAATCTCCCAAGTTCAAAGTGCAGCTTCAAATTTTGTTGTTTCTAACTCGCATTCCCAAGTCCTTTTGTTTAATGCTGAATTTTCAATTGGCTTGATGTTCAGTTCATTGTCATCAGTAACTCTTTCTGTTTGGCTTGATGTTCAGTTCATTGTTATCATTATCTCTTTCTGTTGTCTCATTTCTTGGCTAGTTAGATACGAATTCCTTTTCTGAGGCACCTATTGTTTGCTCTTAGTAACTTGCTAGTTTGAATGACATCTGGTGGTCAAATGCCCTCTGTTTATCCATAAAGTTGGCCATGAAAATGCGACCCAAAAAGGACCAAGAATAGCAGTTCGATTAAAGCATAGTCCTCTTCCTTTCACTAACACGATTTAAATTTCAAAAAAAAAAAATTCAAAACTTTTGAGACTGATATTCCATTATTCCTAATGCTAAGAAATATACAAGATTAGATCACAGATTTCTCTTAACCTGTCAGCCACCAATGAAGTCATGAATCTTTGATTTCAGTCTCTCTCTGGAGCATTTTCGGAAACTCTTCTTGCGCTGAGGCTCCCTGCATATGACCACACCCTCTCAAATTCAGCCGCATATGGTTTTTCGAATTTCCAGTCTGGTTCCTCCTTAAGAACATTTCTCTTTAAAGAGGAAGGTGCCCTTCCTGGGCTTCCAGTGAGTGGAGTTGAAGAACAGAACGTTGGTGTTGCAAAAGGAGAGGCATAAGGAGTATGCTGAATTGAGAAGGGGCTCGGAGACATTCGCTTCTGGATTGGAAGACCACTCAAACCGCTCCTGCTGAAAAGGGAGATTGTTTCTGCCACAGCAGCACTGCGCTTAATAGCATCATCAACATAAAGGACATCATCTATTCTTGCCATAATGTTGAAGGCCAAACTCTCCATCACCCTTGAGTAGCTTTCAAGAATTGATTGCCCAACATCCTGCAATTAAAAGATAATGGAGGGGGGCTATTTTCAGTGTTGCTCACTGTAAAAAAATATTTATTTACAACTAATTGTAATTTTATAATCTGTGTATTTATATTTATATCTCTAAAATTAATTATTTATATCCATAAAATTAAAGATAAAAAATTAAGATAGACAATTCATCAATTATAGAATTAGTTTTTAAAAAAATTTAGTTTTCTAGTTTAACCCCAATTTAGTCGTGCGTAAACCTAAAGTTCTTGTATAATTCTTAATAAGCAATTTTTCAATATACATTCAATTTTACTTTTAATTTTCCACGCAATTTTATTTCTTAATTTTTTCACATGGTATCATAGCTTTAGGCTCTTCTTGGGAAGCCAAATTTTCAGCTTTCATTGTTGACTTCTATTTTAGACCTTCATTACTGAACTCTGTTTAGACCTTCATTGTCGAACCCTGCTAAGACCTTCGTAGCCACTCTATTTTTTCCTTCTTTAACCTTTATTGCTAAAAATCATTTCTGATTATATCTTAAGACTTGTTTCAGTTCAAAGACAGATATCACTACCACCCAATTTGAACAAGTGTCAACTGAAAAAATCACCGAAATACTACAAGTGTCTCGAAAACAAAAAGATTTTGACAGAAAAGAGATTGAAAAACTGAGAAACTTATTAAAAACTCTTGAAAAACCTACTGTGATATGTTTCTTGGATAAAGTCTCTAGTTCAGGTAAAACTTTTGATTTTCACGAATTAAATATCTCAGTTAAGCTTATTACGAGTTCTTAAGTTATTGACTCATGAGCCATAGATCATATAACACATTTCTCACAGAAGTTTAGCACATATACCCTGTATTCTAGTAATAAAAAAATTATTGTGAAAGATAGTTCACTTACTATAGTGACAAGATTAAAAGATGTAAGTTAATATCTCGTTTATTCTAAAAAATGTTCTCACGTTCCTGGATTATCTACTAATCTAATATCCATACAAAAACTTACCAAAGATATGAATTGCAAAGTGATTTTTTATCCCTCTTATTGTGAATTTCAGGACCAAAGTTCGAAGAAAAGGATTAGACTTGTTAAAGAGAAGAATGAACTATATTATCTTGAGACATTAAATAACACAAGTAATATCAAGAATAGTTTACCTTTGTCATTTCTTTCGAAAAATCTTTCAATAAAAACAAAATCTGACTTTATCATTTTTGTTTTGGACATCCTTCTTTTAGAACTTTGAGAAACATGTTTCCTTATTTGTTTAAAGGATTAAATGTTGAAGATTTTCATTATGATGTTTGTGAACTTGTAAAGAACATACGTGTCTTTTTCAATTAGTAACAAAAGAAGTTCTTTCCTTTTACTTGATTCATAATGACATTTGAGGTCCCTCTATAATTCCTAATATTTCTAGTGCAAGTTGATATATTTCTGATGCAAAATGATTTGTTTCATTCATAGATGATTATACCAAGGTCTCTTGAATTTTTTTACTTAAATCCAAATCAGATGTGAATAGTATATTTTTAAGCTTCCAAAACATGATCCAAAATCAATTTAGAGTGAGAATCAAGAGATTTAGGTATGATAATGCAAGAGATTATTTCAACCAGACTCTATCCACCTATTTTAAAAAGGAAAAAATTATCCATGAATCATCTTGTGTTAATACTCCACAACAGAATGAAATGACAGAGAAAAAAAATAACAATTTACTAACCACAACTCGAGCCTTCCTTTTTCAAGCAAATGTACCCAAATCTTACTGGAGGAAAACTGTTCTCACTGCCACACATATTATAAATAGATTCCCTTCAAAAATTTTGAGATTTAAAACCCTATAAAACTACTATCACAATTCTATCCTAACCTTAATATCATAAACAACCTCACACCTAATATATTTGATTGTACATCATTTGTTCATGTGCACAGTCATAACAAGAGAAAATTGAATCCAAAAACAATTAAATATCTTTATGAGATATTCATCAACTCAAAAAGGATATAAATGCTATCATCCTCCTACCAAAAAATTTATGTGTCTGCAGATGTCATTTTTGAAGAAAATAAATCATTTTTTACTCAATCTTATCTTCAGATGACACTTCATTCATGGAAGATAATGATAAATATTTTTTTTTGTTTGATTTGTCTCATTCTTCAACATTTTCACCCATTAATTCTTTTAAGTCAAAACCTATTTTTGCTGAATTTGAGTCTGAACCCATTTCAAATACAAAAAATGTGACAAAAGATAATATCGTTCTTAATTTTATGAAAGAATTATAAGTGTACTCAAAAAAAATTTCAGATCCTGAACCAGTGCCAGTCCAAGAACCTGCTCTTAGCTCTGAAAATGAGATAACTATAATTTTTTACTTTGTTTTTTAAAATGAGCATGAATCTCCTAAAATTATAACTAATAATTATGATCTGCCTATTGCCATTAGAAAATAAACCAAAAAATGTACTAAACATCCACTATACTCAATCTCTAATTTTATGTCATTTAAAAAATTCTCACTATCCCACAAAAACTTTCTTGTGAACTTAAACATTATTTCTATTTCAACTACATTATCCGAGACATTATCCAATGACAAATAAAGGCAAACCATTAAAAAAAAATGAAGGCTTTAGAGAAAAATAAACTTGAGAATTGACAGAATTGCCTAAAAGAAAAAATCCAGTGAAGTGTAAATGAATTTTCACTGTAAAATACAAGGCAAATAATACTGTTGAACGATATAAAATCAAATTAGTGACTAAAGGCTACACTCAAACCTATTGAATGGATTATCAAGAAACTTTTGCTCCAGATGCTAAGATGAATACAGTTAAAATTTTGTTATCATTAGCTGTAAATTACAATTAATAACTTCAACAATTTGATGTAAAAAATGTTTTTCTACATGATGATTTGGAAGAAAAAATATATATGAAGGTTCCACCGAGATTTGAAGCTCATCTAGAAACAAAGTATGCAAACTGAAAATTTTTTATATGACCGTAAACAGTTTCCTAAAACTCGGTTCGGGAGATTTACCAAAATGATGCTAGCAATGAGATGTAAATAGAGTGAAAAAGATCACACATTGTTTATCAAGCATTCTGATTCAAGGCAATCACAGTTCTATTAGTGTATATTGATGATATAATTGTAACTGAAGATGATGAAAAGGAGAAAGAATCTCTAAAACAGTGTTTGATTAGAGAATTTGAGAGAAAAGAGCTAATAAAATTGAAGTACTTCCTAAGAATTGAAGTAAATCAATCATGGCATGATATTTTCATTTCACAACAGAAATATGTTATGAATCTTCTGAAGGAAACTGAGAAGCTCACATGTAAACCTGCAAATATCCCTATAGATCCTAATCATAAAATTGAAAAAGCTAATGAAGATGCTGTTGTAGATAAAAAGATGTACCAAAGATTAGTTGAAAGACTCATTTATTTCACATACTAGACCTGATATGACATATGCTGAATGTGGTAAGTCAATTTATGCATAATCCTAAATAAATGCATCTACAGGCTCTCTATCGTATATTACACTATTTGAAAGTCAATCTTGAAAGATATATCTTATTCAAAAAAAAATTCGAGACTAGTTTTAGAAGCATGTACAGATGTTGATTATGCAAGTTCAGTAACTGATAGAAGATCTACTTCAGGCTACTGCACTTTCTTAAGTGGTAATCTTGTGACTTGGAACAGTAAAAAAGGCTGTAATGGCAAGATCAAGTGCTGAAGCAGAATTCAAAACAATGGCTCAAAAAATTTGTGAACTACTATGATTAAAGATTATCCTAGAAGACTTGAAGATCACGTGAGATAAACCAATGAGACTCTACTCTGATAATAAGTCTAAAATAAGCATTACGCACAATCCTGTACCACATGACAAAACAAAACACATTGAAGTAGAGCAACATTTTCATAAAAAAAAAATTAGACAATAAGTTGATTTGTACACCTTATGTATCAACCAATGGCGACTTGCAGATGTATTAACTAAAAGTATCAGCAATGCAACATTTCAAGAAATTATTTTCAAGTTAGAAATGGGAAACCCCTATTCACCAGCTTGAAGAAAAGTGTGAGAAAACATTTATTTACAACTGATTGTAATATTGTAATCTGTGTATTTATATTTGTATCTCTAGAATTAAGTATTTGTATCTCTAAAATTAATGACAAAAAATTAGGATAGACAATCTCTCAATTATATGATTAGTTTTTAGAAAGATTTAATTTTCTAGTTTAACTCCTATTTAGTTGTATATAAACCTAAGGTTCTTGTATAATTCTTAATGAGTAGTTTTTCACTATACATTCAATTTTACTTTTAGTTTTTCACACAGTTTTATTTCTTAATTTTTCCACACTCACTAAAGTTTTCTCCATAAAACAATAAGAAGGATACAAACCACACATGTACCAACATTATGGGAACCACAGCTACATAATGTACTAACTAGTAGAAGAAATTCGTCTTTCACTTTAAGAGAGATCACCAAAACAAGATAACATAAATTGTAAATTCACTCATTATAGGCCCGTTACCCCATTAAAAAGCTGTGGCCCAACTAACATTAGCTGGTTGTAGCCTCACTAACTAACCAAGGAGCTACTAAGTCACATTTATTAGGCCACATTGTTTAACAAACACATGCTAGAATAATCTCTGATGATAGTGGACGATACAGACAATTAATACTTCTGTTTTTTTTTTCATAAAGAATCGGTGTAAAATACCTTATTATATTGAATTTTGTTCATATCCAGTGCTGTCTGTGGAAGACCAGGGAAACGAAGCCTCAAGCTATGTAACAAGGTCTCAGCTCTTTGGACCAGAAAATTATTCTTTTCACTAACAGCAACAAGGCCCTTGACCTTTCCACCCCATGATGAGCGCCTAGCTTTGATGTGATTCACGTGTTTCCTCTGATCTTTCTGCTTCCAAACATGTACTGCTGCCTCAATCCTGTTAGCTATTTCCAGAGTGTGATGTTCTGTTGACAGATCAAGGCAATCAAGTAGACATTCTGCCGAAAACTGACCAGCTGTAATGTAACGGTAGATGATATCTCCTAAACAAGCTTTTCCATTCTGATGGCAATTGGACATCAAATGGCAAGGAAAATTTGTTACACTTAAAGCATGTGTAAGAAATATTATGTTGAAACACAGTTGGTTCACAAAAACTGTCAGAGAGTGTCAATTTTCAACTACTATTGAATGCAACATTAAAATGATCCAGTTATTTTGACATTCAATGAGAGAAACCTAATGATGCATGTCCATTCCCTTCCAAAGCTATTCTTAACTTTTCAATCCAACATTGAGCACTTTCCTTAACTGGCAGGTTTCTTGATAGAGATGCTCATTAGGGAATTATTAATCGCTAAATTGACAGATCAATATTGAGTACCAACCATTATTGTTCAAGAATTATTACCCAACAAACAGTATCAATGCATGATTTCTAATGCGTTTTTCAGCAAGACTGCTCAAATGTCAATATTTGAGAAACAGTCACATACCTTTGGTAAGGTCTCCAAGTAAGCAGCAGGTATCTCCATCTCTGCCAGCACACAGCTATTAATCGCCATGGCTGCCTTCAGAATTTGGTTTGTGCAATCCCTGCATTGCTGCAACTTCTTCCTTGCATCCTCAGACAAACCATTTGGAGGCAGTTTTGGACATGGTAACCACCATTTCTCTTCCTGTCTAATTGAGGGCCTTCCTCCAGAAACAGATGATGGAAAAGCATCGGAGTCACCACCATCACCCACAACTATTCCCCGATCAACATACCAAAACTCTGTCTCACGAAACCCATCAAGCATGGTAATCAACATTGCATCAAGCTTCTTAAGGGCAGGAAGGTTTATATACAAATCTGAGCGTGGGCTTGTAACCATGACTTCATATGTGCCTCCTCCAGGGAATTGTTGTATTGACGGTACAAGTTCAACAATCGAATCACTCACACACAAAAGCCACTCCATTTCTCTCCTCCACATTGCCTTCTTCTGCGGTGCTAGTGGCTCTAACCTCCACAGCTCACCAAAGATAGTTGCTGCCATTATAAACAAGAGTACCATTTGGCTTAAACGAAATTTATAGAATATACTAGAACCCGAGGTACAAGAAATTATAAGCAAAATCACACCAACCAGAGAGATTTGTGATTGCATTTGAAATGGCAAGTGCAGTGCACACTCCTTTCCCACCTCCAGACATGTCTTCTCCTAAAAGAAGCTTTGCGAATCTCTCCTTCATCATCTCAACTTCTACATAATGTAACATTGAAAACATTAAAAGAATCAGTAAAAATAATAATAAAAACCACAGAATTTAAGAAAAAATTAATAATAATAATAAATCAAGCAGATTAATCCTTAAAAAAGCACACTAAACAATAAATTACAACAAATAGAATACTCATAACAGCCAGATGGTGTTTTTCTTATAGATTTTCCTTGCTATAACAGAAAAAAAAAATTGAAAGAAGAAATCAATCTTCCTGCTCGATTTTCCAAAAATTCCTAAAAACAAGTTTTATTTTAAATTAAAAAAAAAAACAAGGGCATGACTAGAAAAAAAAAGGACAAAAATTACAAAAATAACCATATATGGAAACATAATATGTTGTAAAAGCTGCCATTTTTTTCTTTTTAAGGTTTATCATTTTTGCAATTATTAGTCACAAGAAATATCATAATTACATTTTTTTTTGCTACAAATAGAAACAAGCAAAATCATTTTGCTTAGGAATATTCTAAGCATAAATCTACTATATCTTGGAAAATTTTAGTTATATCTAAAGCAAAAATACAAAAATAAACAAAGAAATTGGAAATACCCGACAAATCGGTGTCCCGTTTCTCAGGCTTATCATCATTCCAAATAACGACATCCTTCCCTCCAATCACCGGCAACATCACCGGCGCCTGAAAACCGAACCCTCCAACAGCCGGTAACCTCGGAGATGACGTCATCGAACTCGAACAACCTTCTCCATCGAATCGCCGACACGAAAAGCTGCAACAACTCTCGGACTCGCTGACGTCGGCACTCAAACTGTAACTCCCAAACCGGTTGCTCTGCTGATCAGAGCCATCATCATCAGAAGATACAATCCCCATCATCTTTAATCACAAGATCCAACGGCTAAAAAACAAAATCCCTCAGCCGGACATTTGCTAACGCTGAGAAGAAACTCCGCTCTCGCGTTGTAGCGGTGAACTGAAATGATTGATTAGAAATTTAGAATTAGAAATCTATCACATTCTCTCTCGGTATGTGTTCCTTTTTTTTAACCTTTCTCTCTCTATAAGTACTTAAGCTTTTTCTTTGGTTTCTCTCTCTAAAATTGTCACTGTGTGCTTGGTACTGTCACTGGTACTGATGATGTTTTCGTGTGCAAAAGCAAAAGAGACGGCGTTTGCCGCTGCTCATCTTTCCGTTACGGCTTTGTCACAATTTTGTTTCGGGTAATAACTGTTTGAATAGAATCGATTTATTTTTATGAATAATGTATAATATTTTAAAATATTTTAAATTTAATTTGTATCTGAATTAATTTTATTTTAAAATTGATCTAAATTAAATTTTATTGTTTTGGTTTGATTTTAGTTTCTGATTTTTAAATTTTATTTATTATTTAAATAAAATTTTAAATATATTTAAATAAATTTATATATAAAATAATTATTTTTATTTTATAAAAATTTAACATATACATAAAAATTAATAAAAATATATAATTTAATTCAATTTGATTTTTTTGATTCTTCACATCTTAATTTAAAATTTAATTTAATTTAAATTTAATATATATTTTATATTTTATTTTAATTTAAATCAAATAAAAAATTAATCTAATCGTATCTAAATTAAAAATTATAATCTTAAATTAATTTTTAATTTTTTCATAAATTTGTTTACCCCTACTTACCATCCGACACAAGCCTTTTACTTCGGTCATTGTTCCCCTGTACTAGAAATTATTGCATAATTGAATCATATTATTATTAATGATAAATTGAGACCTAACATGTAATTTGAGTATTAACTTAAATGATTATCAATGATTAAATTTTTAAATCTTACATATGAAAAGAATTTAAATGTATAATATTTTTTAAGTAAATTAAATAATTATATATGAAAGATAAAAAGTATATAAATTAAAAATATTAAGAAAATAATAAAGTAATTTTCAGTTTAATAACAATAAGTGTAAGTTCTTATTAATAAAAACATTTGTTTTCAAGATTTAAATGTGGTCGCAAGGTTTTTAATTTTTTTTAATAAAACAGTGACGCTGGAATTCCCAGATGACGTGGCTAAATTTCTCCCATGCATGGCGCGAATTTTGCTTGCGTGTACGGCAAGGTATGGGGCCCAGTTGTTATTTCGGAAGGAATGGAGCGTGGAAGGGACCAAACGGCGGTTAGTATTTTTGCAGGGGAGTGAAGGTTGGGAAGCGGACGTTTACATTTAAAATAACGTGAGCTCGCATCCTTGAGGCGTTGGATTGATTAAGAAATTAATTCGGTTTAAAATTCATCTTTGTCAGTGTGTGAGAGTGTAATTACTGTGGGTTTGGAATCTCAAACCGTTGCAGACAACAAAGTGGGACCGTCGTGTTATTAAACGATCGGGATGTGAGAAATAGAAAGAATCTTTAGCAGCTAAAACCCTGACATTGTTTGGATAAGAAGTAATCGATGTCGGATATGCTACGTTTTCAAAATTAAACATGCCACACATCAGCTGCTGATATCACCCAAAATCAGTTGTTCTAACACGTGTCACTCTATTACTTGTCTGATGCAATCGAAGCGGATTCCTTTTACGTCATTAAAATCTTCGGTTGACCAGCGGTCAAAAATCAGATCGGATGATCGAGATGAGAGCCCTCAATCTAGGACCCACGTGCATTTTAATGATTAAAATGTAGGGTGGAGTTATATTGTCCCTAACTAAGGATCACATTGATAGCTATGGAGTTTCATGCACGTGATCGAGCTGTAGCTTAAAAAACATCATAGGTCGGCTGGTCGGGTACTTGATACGAATTTGATCTGTTCATTTAATAGTGCTGAGGTAAGTACGGTGCCGTTTATTATGTTTGTAAAGGGAATTTGGACGGAGGATCATTTATTTTTTTATGTATGATGTTGACCCGACCTAGACTTTAATAAATATTAATTAATTAACAATTAATTTGTTAATTGAGATTGGAATGTGTAGTTAATGATACCACTGATTACCAAGTAATTAAATAATAATTAAGTAAATCCCAAAGACGTGTGGGATGATAACCATATTTTCTTAATCACATTCAAATTGGTAGTGCCTTGTCCACTTGCTATTCCTTCATAGCTCTTTTCACATTGTACTTTGCATTAACACTTTAGGTTTTCAGAAATGTTAATTTGTTCGAAAATAAAATGGCCTATATAATTTGAATAAAATATATAATTTTTTTAAATTTTTTAAGGTTTAATTATTTATGTATATTGTTGTTGATGATTTTTCTGGTGTCTTAAATAAATAAGAATTGATCCAAGATTGGAGGTGATGAAAATTGGGTTTGTAACCAAAAAATTTAATTAAAGAGCGTTGAATTAGTTTTTCAAGATACGTACCAATACTCAAAATAGTAAAATGTTCGTGATTTTAAAAGAGGATAAAAGTAAAGTATGTAAAGGAAGTTACGATTAAAAAAAAAACTTAAGTTTTACGTATTTAAATTTTTTATTTTTTTATATATGAGACGAAAAATAATAATTTAATTAAAATAATTAATAATTAATGATAAATTTATATAAAATTCAAGAAAAATTTACTTAAATAATTATGAACTGCATTTAATCAATTCAAATAAATATAGTATTTATTTAATTGTCTTAAAAAATTAAAAATTAAGTGTTTTAATTTTGAAATTACGTAACTCAAGGCTGAAAGGTTAGTGGGTTAAGGAACACGAACTCATACGGCCCAAGCACTTTATTTACTAGTTCGGTCCAACTCGGAGCAGACCGGGCTTAAAGTGACCATACTGATTGAACGACAAGAACGTTGTACAAGCCCAAATATGTTTTTTATTTTTATTTTTTGTTTTAATATTTGCGAAAATTGAAAACAAAAGGATTTGGTGGTTTAGATGATTGGATTTGGGTGTAGCTTTTATGTTTTTTAAAATTTTTTATTTTAACGGATTAATTTATTTCTGAAAATTCTGAAATCCAAATCGGGAAAAAGAAACCGAAAACCTAACTGACGGTTGAGTTTGCGACAAGATGCCGAAGAAGATGGGTGTAAACAGCAAGGCCGAGGTTGCGCGTGCACGTAAGAGCGCCACTGAATCGGATCGGAAAGAGCGGGAAGCCCGGGAGAAAGAAGAGCAGTACTGGCGCGAAGCCGAGGGTCCTAAATCCAAGGCTGCCAAGAAACGCGAGGAGGACGCCGAGAAACGAGCCGAAGCAGCAGCTCGCCGTGCGGAGGCACGTCGTCAAGCCGAGATGGAGGAGAAGGAGATCGATAAAGCGATGAAGAAACCGGAAAAGAAGGCGAACCGCGTGTCGATTCCGGTGCCGAAGGTGACGGAAGCGGAGCTGAGGAAGAGGAGGGAGGAGGAGCAAGCGGAGATGGCGAAGAAAGCAGAGGAGACGAAGAAGAGGCAGAGTAGGACGGCGGCGGAAGAAGAGTATGAGAGGATGGTGTTAGCGACAAACACGAATAGGGATGATTCCGTGATTGAAGCAAGAAGTGTGGAGGAGGCAATTGCGCAAATGTCTGTGGCGGATAATCTTCCCGCGGATCGCCACCCTGAGAGGCGGCTTAAGGCCTCCTTTAAGGTGCGTTTCATGGGCTGTCTTATTCCTTTCCTGAATTTTCATTTACTCTCTCAATTGGTATTATCAATGTATGTAGGCATTTGAAGAAGGTGAGCTTCCCAGGCTTAAAGAGGAGAAGCCGGGTCTTACTCACACTCAATACAAGGATATGATATGGAAACTATGGAAGAAATCTCCTGACAATCCTCTAAACCAGGCAAGTTTTTTTAGCCTAGTTTGAACTAATGCCGTGTCCATGCCCTCCGCTAATTTGAAATGATCTGATGGGTTGATTTGCTTAGGTATTGTTGAATATCATGAACAATTGTTAGTGTTTTTTATGCCTAACATAATTTTTATTTTGTGTGTGCAGATCGCTGAGTGAAGAGTGATCACTGCTAAGATTTCCTCAGGCTAGAATATCAGGCGAGTTTTCCTTCGAACAAATTGTGTGTAGAGATGCAATTGTGGCATATAAACTTGTGTTGGTTTCTGGCCTACTATGTATGCAGTGTCTGCCTAGTGCTTAAAACTGAAATAAAATTTTATTTAACTAATAATACTGGCTATTTATTATTACTCATCAGATTCCACCTCTGTTGATTTGTTACTTTAACTATGGTTGTTTCCCTATTTTCTTTTTTCCTTTTGACTGATGTACAGGCAGAGAAATACTTGGCATAGCTTGTGCAAATTACTGATTAAGTTGCAAAGATAAGATAGATCCTTTGGAAGGTTTACCTTTCTCTCATGTGTGACTAAAATTACGTTAGGCTTGCTTCTGAGTTCTCTATTGCTATCCTAAGCTTTAAGTCACTATTATGTCACTAGACTGATTGTTTTTGCTTATGTACATGGAAGTCTACTAGCCCTAGGAATCTAGTGGAATTTAATGGCTTTTGTGGAGGATGGGTTAACAATGCAATGCCTCAATCAAACCGTTGCATACTGTAAAGGTCTGAGGAAACTTGCCTCTTAGTGATATTTCTTAAGTAGCTTATGCCAATGTCATTGCATCATTGGAATGCTTATCAAGTTTTTGGGATTCTGCTTTTTGATTTTCCATGGACCAATGTGGTAAATTCTTGGATGCCAAGTTTAGTTTTTATCACTGAATAGCTATTTTTGATGTTTTTATGGCCTTTTCAAAAGATTTGGAAATTGCAATTGCTTGGTCAACTGGAATCTGATTAATCAAGAAATGTTGATCCATGAAGTCCATGCAATGCTATTTAACTTGCGTGTAGCACTTAGATCCTCATTTATCTATATTAAATCTTGTGTGTTCTTGTGGTTAAATGCTGAACATCATAAAGCATGTGGAGCTTTCTGGCATGCATGAGCTTATTTAAAAGATGCTTTACACGAAATACCATTTGATTCTCTCCTTCAAAGAATATGATGGCCATCACAGCATTGTTCCAATAGGGTCAAATCCACTAGTGGTTCAGCAGCTAGCATTACCACTTGATGTACATTAACTGCTTGCTTTCAATGACTACACATGCTATAAGTCCTTAGTTGAATGGTAATTTCTTACATGTGACTTCTTACATGTAACTAGGTGCACGGATGGGAAAGTGGGTACAGGTTCCTCTCTTAACTTCCAAGGATGGGCTAAACAATAAAGTTCCTTGGATCGTGAGATGACGACATTTTGCTGCGACCTGAGAAAGAATTTTACCTGATAAGTTATGTTCATATGAAATGTCATTCAGCCATTCAAATAGATCCGCAAGTGATACAAACAGCTCTTGTTTTATGGACTTAGATCTTGGATTGATACTCAAGTGGTATTGTTAGTTAAAAATACACCTATATTAAACATGCATTTTTGGGATGCTTTGTCTTGACAATTTTTGCTGGCCATCTTCGCTTTAAAAGACTTGTTTTGTGAGTTTCAGTTTCGACATTTGTATATGGATGTCTTAGCCCTCGACAATAATAATTTTGTACACAGCATGGACATTGAACTTCTTGCCCACCTTCGGCTATATACGGCTTAAACAAATTATCATGATCAATAAGCCGATCCAGTGTCTACCATCTTTGTTCTTGCCCCATAAAATGTTAGAATTTTCGGGCTCCTATCCGAAGACCATAGCTAAATGGAAAACAAAAGATCATATTATTATTTTTATGCTAAAGAGATCGCTATGATAGGTATACAGCACAAGAAACCAGAAAGTAAAGTAGCAAAAGAACAGAAACTGCAGTAAGTCACCAAACAAAACAATTAGCTTCTATGGGACTTTGATTGTTAGCCCATTAACAAAGCAGATTATATCTTTAGGATCCCTCAATTTGACTTTCTTTTTCATCCTAAAACACAATGTAATGGAGACTGAATAAGATTCCTTAGTGGGGAATTGACCAAAAAGGAATTGTTTGAGAACCTTAGTTTGAGACTGCAGCACACTTTGCAAGCGTCAACTAATTCTGTAACTTCTTTTGTTAACCTATTTATTGAGACAGGATTTAGCCAAAGAAGAGCTCAACTCGAGCTTTTAACACAGCCAACATTAAAGTCTGAAATCTATGGTATATGCTAATATATCTGTGTCTGCCTCCAAATACTTTTTATTAAGTGAATTCATTTTCCATGCTCACAAATTATGCTGGATTTTTTTTAGCTCTTAGATTTTGGAGCAGCAATAATGCAGAATCAATCTTACCAAGTTCCTGCAATTTCAAAGGTAATTGACATTGTTGGGGCTTTTTGGATACTTGGCACCAGAGTACGTGGTGTGTGGAAAGACAGATGAAAAGATAGATGTTTATTCCCGTGGGGTTGTGCTCCTGGAACTGGAACTTATTACAGGGAAAGAGGCCATATCGTTATCGTTCTATTTGGACATCTGTCCACAGTCGTGTCTATGTCTTCATATATGTAGCAAAATAGAATCTATTGTAATTTATTTCTTTATTCTGTTATCCAATTTCAGTTCGTCGTTAACCTTCCACATTGTTTCTTTATTCATCAAGTTTTAAGACAGCATCTGTGTTAGGCCTCTGCCAGCTGAGAAAAGTTAACAGGGGCTACAAATCTTGGTTCACCACCGTAAAGGGTAAAAGCTGCCAACTTTGAAGCAGATTGTGTAGGGTGGAACAGATCCCAGAACAAGTATTCATGGCGATTTGAGCAAAGATTAGCTGTCGGAGTACAAGGGGATTCTGCATTCAATGTGCCATTTCCACAACATGCAGTTTTGACATCTGTAAAACCTGAGACAATAAATGAAAATCGAAGGTCATTAGATTCTATATTATCATTCAACTGAAACAAATGCAAATGTATATTATCACTCAATGTGCCAGGTTTGCTGCTATCAAAGCAATATTTTAAGTGAAATCTGAAGTTGATACAACATTTGGCTTGGGGAAAGGAACTAGAACATTGTTTTGTAATTCAACTTGTGGCTAGATGCATATCTTGTTCATGTATAAATGTAATTTCTGAGTGAAAGGCTTACCGAATTTTGGAGCATTATCGATAACATTTATTGTCATCTCAATCGCATTTCCAAGAGAATACTTCATGTCCATGAACTCTGAACTGAGGTTGCGCATAAGGGTGTCCAGTATTGAATAGAAAGCCCTATAGCTTGGTCGTTCAACTCCTCCAAACAATCACCATTACCTGTATAAAGCCTTTGAGATGGGCAACACCCAACTGGTGGAACACTTACTATTCCAAACTTCCTTGCTCCAAGACTAATCAGATTCTGCACATTAACAATGACTTCAGTTCAAATGGACAGAAGTTATCCCTTGTTGGAGACAACTTGTATCAAGCAAGACATGACATTGCTACAGTTGATGATGGTTCAAAGAAGAAAGATGGAACTCTCACCCTTAAGTACTTCTCATATACGAGTCCTAAATTGGGTATGAACTGTTCTTTTGGTATTGTGTTGTTTGAATGGTAATTCCCCAGAATGTCATTGCTACCGGTGCTGATGAAAAACAGAGACTTGGAGAGAAACTTTTCTGTTTCTGATGGACCTTTTATTGCTAAGAGATCATTGTAGACAGTGGAGAATTGGTATACCTGCTCACCAATTGGTACAACATTCTTTTGTTGAGTCCATGTTAACTGAGAAGAAATATTGATCAGCAACAAGTTTGAATTAGATACGAGGAATGAACAACCAAAATCTGCCTTATGCAATGGAGAAATTCAGAGGCTTTACCGTTGTTTGTCCCGTTGTGTGAAGAAGGCCAGATCCTGCTGATGAAAAGTTGATACCTCTAAAGCTACGTTTCTTGATAGCAGATGTTCCATTAAGATAAAAAAAAAGTTGACGGGCTTCTCTTGAAACCAAATAGTTCAAATCAAACCATCACACAAGACAAAGCCATTTTAATCTAATGAGATTGAAATGATCACATCAGTTTATGTTATAGGAAATGCCTACTGAAGAAAAAAAATGCGAGGAGCACTACAACTATATATATATATATATATACTAACCAATAAAATCAGCGGTATTAAGGCCATTGCTGAATCTGCCAGTTGCTCTTGCAAAAGGAAAATCGACGCCATTGTGCGGGAAGTTAGCTTGAAGGATTTAGAGCAGAGGAAGAACAAAAAAAAGAAGAAACTAATCTGTCACTTGAAGTAAATTGGCTCTGCAGATCATGAGCTTCATTTCATTAATATATAAGCTTTAACATACAAAAGTTTGTTTAACTACTACAAGAGTTGTTTGCCTAACAGTATGGATCACCATGCACAGATCCATCATGTTACCTAAACTGATCAGATGGCAGAACCTATTACAAAAGTGCCAGTAGAAATGCCATACCTAGTTGCTTCAACCACTAACACACTAACACTCCTCCTTGGCATTTCTGCTGGAAACACCAAGATTTTTCCTCAATGTTTCAAACCTTGCCTTTGGTAAGGCTTTGGTTAGAATATCTGCAATTTGATCTTCTGACTTGCAATGCACTAGTTTCACTTCATTCTCAGCTTCAACTTCTCTAATAAAGTGATACTTGATCTTAATATGCTTAGTTCTTCCATGAAACACATGGTTCTTAACCATTGCAACTGTTGACTAATTATCACAAAAGATTTATGTTGGATCATCTTGCTTTTGACTCAAATCCATCATAATTTTTCTTAGCCAAATTGCTTGATTAACAGCAGCTGTAGCAGCTATATACTCTGTTTCTGCTGTTGATTGAGCCATAGTTCCTTGTTTCTTTGAATTCCAGCTGAACACATTTAATCCAATGAAAAACACATAGCCTGAAGTGTTTTTCATGTCTTCATGAGAGCCAGCCCAGTCACTGTCTGTGAATCTAATCAATCTTGAACTTTCATTCTTCTTGAACCAAATTCCAAGTTCACTAGTTCCTTTGACATATCTCAACACTCTTTTTGCAGCCTTAAAATGTAACTCACTAGGATGTTGCATGAACCTAAAGAGTAAATTTGCAGCATACATGATGTCTAGCCTTGTTGCTGTCAAATACAATAAGCAACCAATCAAGCTTCTATAAATAGAACCATCAACTTTGTTAGCTCCATCTTCCTTAATAAGTTTTTCTTTTTGAGCCAAAAGAGTGTTGACTGGTTTGCAATTTTTCATCCCAAATTTATTCAAGATTTCATTTGCATATTTTCTTTGACAAATGAAGATTCTTTGCTGGTCTTGATGAATCTCCATTCCAAGAAAGTAAGACATTTCTCCCATATCTGTCATCTCAAAAATTTTCTGCATTTGTAGCTTAAAATCCTCCACAAGAGCAGATTTGCTACCTGTCACCAAAAGATCATCAACATATAAAAAGATAATCAACAGATCATCACTGTTAAAAACTTTAATGTACAATGTTGCTTCACTGAGGCTTTTCTTGAATCTTAACTTCAGTAAATGATCATCAATTTTGGAATTTCACACTCTTGGAGCTTGTTTTAATCCATACAAAGCCTTCTTGAGTAGATAGACTTTACCTTCATGTCCCTTGGCAACAAAACCATCAGGTTGTTCAATGTAAATCTCCTCCTTAAGATAACCATTCAAGAAGGCAGATTTGACATCAAGTTGGTATATTTTCCAATTTTGCTGAGTTGCTAAGGCTAATAGCAGTCTTATGGTGTCCAACCTTGCAACTGGAGCAAATGTCTCTGAAAAATCAATACCAAGCTGCTGGGAATAGCCTTTAGCTACCAATCTAGCTTTAAGTTTATTGATGGAACCATCAGCATTCAACTTTGTTATGAAAATCCATTTAACACCAATGATGTTTTTGTTGCTTGGTCTGTCAACCAGCATCCATGTTTGATTTTTCTCAATCATTTGAATCTCCTCCTTCATGGCATTCTTCCACTCTGAAAATTTGACAGCTTGTTCAAAGCTTGCAGGTTCAAGAATGGTAACATTTGATCTTTGATAAATATCTGTGAGTGGTCTGATTCCTCTCACTGGTTCATGATCAATGATTTCATTTTCAAACATATAATCTTCTTGATCTTGAAAGCTTATCATGTCTGCAGCAGTTTGCTTGACTGATTCTCCCTTTGACTTTTCCCAATTTCAGGCAGCTTGCTGATTAAATCTCACATTTCTACTTACAATCATCTTGCCTGTAAGTGGATTGTAAGTCCTATAGCCTTTGGTGATGTTGCTATAACCCAGAAAAATACATATTTCTGCTTTTTGATCAAGCTTGTCCCTTTTGATATCAGGAACAAACACATAACAGATGCTGCCAAAAATTCTGAGGTGGTGCATTGATGGTTTGCTTCCATACCAGGCTTCGAAAATAGTGTTTTCTTTCAAAGCTTTTGTGGGCAGCCTGTTGAGCAAGTAGACAGAGGTATTGACT